GAAAAAAATATTCAAAAAAAAAATTATTTCCGACCTACCGACCCTAATTTTTTCACGATATGAAACCGGAACCACAGGTATTTTTTTTTACGCCTAACGGTCATCTATTATCACTCCAGTGTTAACAAAGAGAGAAACCTGCATTAAACTAAGCTGACATCATGCATTTATCCTGGACAGCTCTATCAGTTCTAAACTGTTATCGCTAATAGGTACAGTAAGTGTCATGCTTTATTGCTTCAGTGTTACTACAGGAGGAAACTTAAATTTTACTTATACTGGACAGTTCTCTATGGAGGTCCAGTAAGGATCATATCTTATTTATCCTGTGTTACTGCAGGAGGAAATCTACACTAAACAAACTTTATTTATACTGGACTGCTCTACCATGCAGTTCTAAACCGTTCTTTCCAGATTTCCAATAAAGGCTCATATCTTCTCGACCCATGTTAAGAGAAAACCGATTACACTATGATTCTATCTATAATGCATAGCTTTATTACCACGAAGATGTATATTCTACCTGTGATATTCCAGGAATAATTCTTAATCCAGCAGCAACACCATTATGAAATGCAGGCCATACCAACATATCATTTGGAACATCAACATGATCCAGTGAGATCACTGCATTTCTACAGAGAAAATTTCAACGTAAGATGATGCTTATATCAAACTGAAGACATTTCAGCCCTTTTTAGATGCTATCATTCAAATGGTATCAGTTAAACAGATGGTATCAGTTAAACAGATTTGTAGGCATCTGGTTCGATAGAACTAATAGTAGATGGGCATTTTTGTAGATGGAACATTCGAATGTAAATTTATATAATTTATTAGACCTAACCAGAAGCAGTTGCCAAAAATGCAACTACATATAGGCCGCCCTATGAATCGAACTTAAGGCCCTGTGATTCCAGTGCAGCGCTCTAAAACTGAGCTACAGAGGTCAGTCGTCGAGCTCTAACCACAAATTCTGTATATATCTATATATATAATAGAGTGATTCCAGTAGAAGGTATACATTCATAGTATGGAAATTGGATTTCCATATATTATTTCCATATAATTACGACCCATCTATTTCCATAGTAAGGAATTTGAAAAAGAATCACATTCCAGTACATATCTGCCTTTCACCTTTGTAAAGGTGATACAAATACAGGGTTTTTTTCAGGGAATTTTTAGGACCGTAAAACGGCTCCAAAAACTCAATCTTGAATTGAATTTTGAAACTCAATCTTCTCATCAAAAGATTCTGTGCAGTAAAATGAAGTTGTTTGAGTTAAATTCATGACGTGTGCAAATTAGTTATCAGTTGAAAACCCGAAAATTAAGTAAAAAATGGCTGGAAATCATTTCACAACACAAGAAAAACAACGCATTCGCCGTCTTTAACCAGTTTATAGTGTCCCTTAGTGCCCCTGCTTCAACACATTGCATCTCAACTACAGACCCCTAGTTGTTCAGCTAAACTCAATCTTGTCTGCAGAAACGGACCCAAGAGAAAATCCTGAAAAAAACCCTGAAATACTACATTGTGCAATTGCCTGATTATAATTTCTCTTCATTCCAAATGAGAACACTTCTTCTTCGATTTTGATTCAACCAAATACGACACTTCCGTTTATGATTGAAATAAACTAACCTGGGTAATGCGCGGCCAGTAATCTCCAATGGAGGAATGGGAACAAGTTCAGTTAACGTCGGACGAGATGTCGCCAGGGTAAGCATTCCTCTAAAGAGAGAAGATATTACATGCGCCGCGATTTGCATGGCTAACTTCATGAATAAGCCGATAATCGGTTCTTTATTGGTAGAAGCCGATAATCTAAAACGTGACGGGAAGGCTGATCGGTTATCGGTCGATAACATCAATACGCATGCGCATGTATCAATATTTCCAGTAAATACATGCTGCCCTAATGCTGGCTTTTTGTAGTCATATTTTCCTTCGTTTTATCAAATAAAAATTGTCCATATGAGTTCAGGCGAAATTGCAAACAATGATTTGGCAACTAAACCAGATTTGTGCAATTATACAAAACACATGAAATAGACAAACAGTATGCATGCTTTATCGTATCGGTAAACCAAATGTCAGCATAATTTATAATAATACAACCGTTACAAGAATACAGGTTGAGGGAAGTTTGCAAATATTCGTTTTTACCTGCCAACAGATAAGGATAAAGTTCTTTTACATATCATCAGAAGTCTTGCTTCTTGTTCTTGAACAAAGTCATGATCACTAAAAGGAATCGAAATAGCATTTTACTTCAGTATAATTAACAACATAATTGTAGTGCAATCAACCAATCAGAAATCGGTAATTTTGTTATACCTATCTAATAAAAGGCTATTCACATGAGCTATCCGGGATGAATAGTGTTACGAAACTTATTTTCCTGGCCATAAAAGATCGTTTGAATTGAATTCTATACTGTTACTGGAATCAAACTACAGTAAGCGAATTCAACTTTAAAATGACATTTTGGATGATATTTGCTGTCTTGGTATAATGTACTCAGGTGAATATGATGCTTGTGATGTTACTCTGAGTGTATATCCACACCGGGCAGGCTTGAAAAATATGCCTGGGCACGGTGGGAATCGAACCTACGACCTTTGGAATACTAGCCCAATGCTCTGCCAACTGAGCTACGCGGTCAGGTCGGTTCGAGTATATGATATTTCGGAACTGAGTCTAGTTCCTTCGATATCAGTGTATTCTAATAATCATGATATTTGCTGTCTTGGTATTTGCTGTCTTGGTAAACTCGAACCGACCTGACCGCGTAGCTCAGTTGGCAGAGCATTGGGCTGGTATTCCAAGGGTCGTAGGTTCGATTCCCACCGTGGACAGGCATATTTTTCAAGCCTGCCCGGTGTGGATATACACTCAGAGAAACATCAGAAGCGACACTTTGGAAGTTTATCAAAATCGTGATAAGACCTTTATTAAACGCATCATCCCGGTCAACTGGGCTAGCCCGGCTCCACATATAGGATATCTATATGAAGCCCTTAAATATGATATCTATATGAAGATGATTCATCTGTAAAAGTGCATGGCGACAATGCACTGATGGTGACGATGGCATGCATGCGTTTAATTTCATACCTCACTTCAGGGTTCTGAACCAACGAGACATGAACTGGCCTGGCAGACTGCAACAATCTTCGCACTTCACGAATTCTATGGTCGATACTAAATCGTAGCTTCGTTGCCTACAAGATACAAAATAGGGAAGTAGGACGACAGCGCGACGACAAAGGGCAAAACAAACAATAGTTCAAATAATTAACTTTAAACAAAAATGGTCGTATATTATCCAAGTTACAGAGTGTCCAAATTGTGTTTTAACTTAAAGTGCCTATGACACGAATTTTCACCCCAAAGGTTTATGGTTGTATTGTAAAATCACTTAAAATGACTTAATAACTTCGTTTATAGAATTTTGGTAACTTGCTTCCTTTTCAAGATATTCAACTTTGTTTCATATGCGAATATAACCGGTGTGACATCACATCGCATAATGACATTTTGAAAACGCAATATTTTACATTGATAAAATATTTTTACAAACAAATACAGAGGATTAATTACCAGTTATGAAATGAATGCATATACAAGGGCAATTTTTAAGTTTTTTAGATACGT